ATCAATGATAGCTAAACATTTGAATGAATACCTTTTTGAAAGCAAAGAAAACTGGCAAGGTTTTGCGGGCTTCTTAACATTACAGAGTATGTATGTATGTATGTATGTATGTATGTATGTATGTATGTATGTATGTATGTATGTATGTATGTATGTATGTATGTATGTATGTATGTATGTATGTATGTATGTATGGCCGAGTGGCCGAGTGGTCTAAAGCGCTCTCCGTTACGGATCACTGCCATCTCACCTCTGTCTGCGTGGGTTCGAGTCTAGGATTCGGCTAATGTGGATGTGTGAGAAAGCTTGCCAGTAGTTTCTCGTAGTTCGGTGGATCTTTCCGGTGATTTCCCGGATTCTTCCTCCACAATTAATACTGGCCGCCATGAATAGCCTATCGTGTGCTGAAAAATGGCGTTAAACCAAACAACAACAACATGTATGGATGGATGGATGGATGGATGGATGTATGTTTGTTTGTTTGCTTGTTTGCTTGTTTGCTTTCATGTGTGTGTGTATCTAAGTATGCATGTGTGTGTTGTGTATATGTATGTATGTATGTATGTATGTATGTATGTATGTATGTATGTATGTATGTATGTATGTATGTATGTATGTATGTATGTATGTATGTATGTATGTATGTATGTATGTATGTATGTATGTATGTATATATGTATGTATGTATGTTTGTTTGGTTGGTTGGTTGTTTACTTGCTTGTGTGTATCTAAGTATGCATTGTCATGATCAGAAAGAAGGTAATCAGTTCTCGCAACATCAAAGCCATGAATGTTTGTACTGGACCAATGAATGTTTTGATGGTCAGAGCTGTTATTACTGGCTCAAGTATCTGGATAGTCAAATCGTATAACTGAGTTAAATTTCGTAAGTGTAAGTAGTATACGAAATGGTGATTTTGAACAATTATTTTTAAATGGTGTTCGTGGAGAACTGATGGGTTTTTACCTCTTCGCATAGAAATATGGAAATTGTGGACCACTTTTAATGTGCTTTGTATCATTCTGTTGTTTGTTTTTGTTATCCGATGTTTTGTTGTCTTAAAAACGTGCTTGTGTTATAGCGAAGAGGGATCTTCCTTGTTGGCCTTGGAGAAGTAATCGAAACCACAACACTGTACTGAGTATCAAAAACCGTTCCGAATAAGGCTTGGATTAGCCTTTTGTAACAAAAACCAACATTTTTATGAGGCCCCTCTTGCAAAATTGTGATTATCCTGCTGATGTTCGCAGCAGTATTCCAATAGTGGAATAAGGTGATGAGGAGTCCAAGGAGTGGTTGAAGTGTGCGAAGAAGGCTATAGCTTATGCGAATGATGATATGAATCATATACCTGATGTAATGTATTGAGAGTAGAGCGGAGACAAGAACGATTGGGTAAGGTTTGGTTATAGACACCAGCGCCATGTATAATGGTATACTCAACAATATTTCATAAAAAGTAATAAAGCGTGTCACAACAAGATCAGTTTTATTATTGGCTAAATAGGGTGACTCGAGATCAATTGGTAGGTCGTGTGAAATTAATAAAATTTGTATATGTATTTAAGAGGATATTGGAGGTGATGTGCCATCACAAGAATACGGATATATGTAAAGAGGTAGTTGGAAAGAGCATAGGCGAGGAGTATAATAATATCAATATTGAGGCATTGTCATCTCATAAGCCTAATGTCGTGGATGCAGGAATCTTTATTTTCTGAGACAATGATGTCAAAACTGTAGTTGGAAACCACCAGTTGAATTATTCTGGATAGCCAAATCATTTGATGAGAGATGTTTTACCTTTGGTGGAAGATGATTTTTTTGGGCTCTGAATCCGTCCTGATTTTTTTGTGTACTCTCTCTTCGCAAAAGGAGCCATGGATGGACTCACCTGGTGTATCTTTGACCGTGCAGGTGACAGGGATGGTTGTTTAAACAGTATCGACAACGCAGACTTCTTCGGTCCAGTTGGGTGTAAATATCTTTTGAAGGCAGTTTTTTTCTGTTTATTCTGATGTGGTCACCTACTTTGAATCTAAAATATAAAACGCCTATGACCTATTGTTGTTAGTACAACTAAGATGGTTCCGTGGAGTCATATTAAGCTATGTAATTGTATAGGTCGATGATTTCTGACAAAAATAACTAAGCATCGGTTGATATCATCAAAGGTGAATCTCTTCCACGTGTGATTTTTGAGAGTTCTGTTAAACTGCTCTAAGATGGCTACTTTGATTAGGTGCTGCACAGATCAATATTATTTTTGAATCCAGTCTAAGACGGTTTTGTTATAAAATGCACTACCTTGATCTACCCATAATGAATGTGGTCAATGTAAACCTACAATGATATCCAACGCCTCAACGATAAAATGTCCATCTTGATTTTGAGAAGAAAACTCATGCATGTTTGCTGAAAACGTCTATGGCCGTCATAAGATAGTTAAAATGATCGTTTTACGCACTTTTATCTCTCATGTCGACGAGATCAGCCGACCATATATAGTCTACTGCTACCGCGATGATAGTATTATGGACAACGTTTACACGCAGGTTTATGTAGTTTTTTATGAGTACATGAATCAATTATGGAATACCTATGCGCAACTTATGTTAAGTGCCTTAAATTCATTGCACAATTGCTCGATCTTTATGTTCGTTGATATTGTTATGTCTGAGTTCATTTTAGTCCCTCAGTATGATTCGATGGCATCTCGCTTCGTCGTTAGGATGATTCCTGTAATATAGATCGTTATGCATCGATGCTGTTTTGGGGCTCCTTAGCCTGGCACCGACTGATCCAGTTCGTTTAGTTAGTGTTCTATGGGATGCCGCGGTCAGGTTATTTATGTTCTGGCAACGTCCATCCAGCATGAGGTCTTGGAAGTTTTAAGATCAGGGAATGGGTATCTATGGCATCACTGAGAACTTGTCGTTGTCTGCAGCATTTGCAGTCCCCCCACGCGTAGGTTTCTTTCCACAAGAAAGTTTTCGCAGCTTGTGTCGATGTAGCAGTGTCTGCAATGGTACCTGTTAATACAGATCAAGGACATATAGTCGACAACATAGTTGTCCACCACTTCCACATACTCACTGCATTTGGAAGATCTCTCTGCTTAAAATAGTGTCACCTTACCGGTAACGATATATTGAAAACACATACAACAGATCTAGATTGGATAATGAGACGATGATTTTTTTTCGTGGCCACTTAGGACACCACAAGTTTATATTGACTGTATTATGTTATGGTTGATATTAGTTTAGGCATACTCTGGAAACTTTGATAACTGCTTCTACTTTTTATTGTCTGCCATATGTACGTCGAATGTAAAGAATGCAGTACCATCCACGCGTGCTATCGATGACTTCCTAAAGCTTTAACGAGTTTTACACAGCTCCTTTATATAGATCTTGGAGGTAGCGACTTCATCTTGGGCGGGTATACCAAACATTACTCGACGTCGCTGTAACTTGGATCGTTGACCACGCCGACTCCGTGAATAGTGAATGTCCATAGTAATAATTTTGAAGGTGAATGACACAGCTCTCATCGGATGTGATGTTGTTGGGCAACTGGTTCTTAGAAAAGATACCACTGAAATTTCTACCGCTGACTACTAATTTTTAGATTGAGGTTGGACAGGGGCATTCCTGACGTTAGTGTTGTCGACAAGAGTGTCTGAGTTGTCTTAGTACATGTGTTTCCATAGTCGTGGAATATTGCTTTAAAACCTTTTTGTTTACCTTTGCTGGAAATACCTGTACCGCGCCTTTGTCCAGGACGTTTGAATCCTTAACATATGCCTGCTAATAGTGGTCCTGTAAATCCTCCTTTTTGTGAAAACCTATTCTGGTGGAAAGTTAAGAACGATGCTTTTTCATGCAGCAACATGTTTGGCTACTGACGTCGTTTGACGTTGGGTGATCATGACTCTATCCATTCCTGTGAACTCAGGCGCTTTAGGCTGATCAATACACGTCCTTTTGTGCATGGCAGCCACAACGATACTTTTCTTTTCCTGCGGAGGCAGCGTCAAACTCTACTGGGACGTGCGACATGATGTTATATTAATTGCCTTTTGTTTATTTTTCTTTACACTGGTTTATTTCGATAGTCATCGCTGTTGAAATAAATTCGACATAGAGCAACGTAGTTGCCATAGACAACGCTTCCCATTACATCATTTTGCATAGCTCCGGTAATGGCCCCAATCGCTGTGGCAAGTTTTAATGAAGTAAGGACCGATGCAAACAACTTTCGCGTCATAGTCTTCAACAAAGAGAATGATGTCTCTAGCGATAGCGCCTCCCGCTCGTTTGAATCCCCGACGTTTGAACGACATTTTTTGTCATGGTCTAAACATTATTGACATAATTTGGTCTTCTACAAGGATACACGATGATGTTCATTTACAAATTGAGCAAATCTGACTTCATTAATTGGTCTGACGTCACAAGCACTTAGCACGTGTAATTAGCTTTGAAACATTGTAATCGGTGCTGTCCATCAGATTCTATCTTTAAATTATCCAATGATTATCGAATTGGTCACAGTTAAGATGAACTATAATGTAACCAATGGGAATGACTCCACGATGAGCTTCAAAGGCAAAACGATGGCGAAACAGCGCATCCCTGTTCCCAAGCACGTACTAATGAACTATGCTTTATCATGTGCTGCGGTACCTTATCGAGAGTGTCTGTTTATTACGCACGCTTCGAACTTCTGACACTGCGTTAACTTCATAACGACTAAACACTAAATGAACTCTCCATTGAAACAGCGTTTCTGAGTCATGGTGTTGGTGTTTATGATCTTTAACGTAGCTTTTAAAATATTTTCAGTGTGGAAGTTTATAGTGATGTCTAGCAGAAATGTAGCATGATGTACCACCCAGTCACATTATCCTGACACTAAGCCGACCAGTCCTAACATTAACCTCTTAAAGCTGAGCGTCAAGCGAGGCAGCCGTTGATACCATTTTTAAAGTCTTTGGTATGACTCAACCGGGGATCGAACCAACGACCTTCCGCATCCGAGGCGGACGCTCTAGTTTTTGAGTCATAAACTCCCAAAACGTTGTTTTCCGAGACATCGGAGTTTTCTCATACAGTTGCATAATGCTTAATTTTCGTCATAAACTCGTCAAAACACAGCTTAATTATTTTTATTCGGTGGGTGGATATCAATTTTATCTTAAAAAGATTAATTGAAGTCTGTTTTATACACTGGAGCATACAATTCAACATAAATTATAGGAAAATCGAGGGAAAGATTTTATCCTACATCATGATATTGCTTTTCGTCTTACTAGCATTACTCAGTCGCTGCATTGGTTTTTAGCAAAAATGCCAGATCTAAGATCGTATGCCTCTCTGACTGAATTGATAGAACTATACGCGATGCCAAGAAGCCATACACTTTATAAGCTTGTAAGATAGTAGAAAGCGCTAGTAGGTCGAGGAATTATCATGTTTCATCATTAACCAGCTGCGAAATAATTTCAAACCGCTCACTACGAAAACTACTAAACCTTCAAAACTCTTTCAACTACATTATGAGATTATGAGCCGATCGCGAAGAGCCGACATTGATAGAAGACTACCCAAAATCGATTCTCATGGCAGTCAACTACAGCACCAAAACATTAAGTGGAAGACAACGAAATTGTACACATGAAAGCTGTCGACGACGTCTGCACTACCACCACACAGACAACCCATTACAGCTAAGTTGGCGCCGATAAAGGATTTATTTACGATCATTAGAACTTGATACAACAAGGATTTGACACAACCTCCTTTAGTGCTTTCTAAAGCCTACTGTGAATGCTGAACTAAAAACATACACGTAGTAACTCTCAACGTTCAAATGAGCATCGACATTTGGATCAAATAGGAATAGCTGATCGTTTAGCGCAGTGTCGACTGCAACCACATCGTGGACATCAAATAGTCGTTTATACAACGTCTCAAGGAAGACTAAGAATAATCGGGATCCACAATTGTCCTCGCCTTGGTCAATTCTGTCTGGTTTGAAACTTCCAAATTTACACCGATGAGTGGAAGCAATGGATGTCAATCGCGCCTCCAAATACAAGCCGTATTTAAGGACCTCAGTACTACCTGGATTATTTGTCCGGGAGTTGTCAAAGATTTGCCTAAACTGAAAGCGCTCCACGATGGATTATCCATCACCTTGTTTGGACTTGATGACTAAAAAAATCGAGCAATAAAATGTTCGTGGTCACTCCCATGCTGGTCTCCAAAACCGTCTCACAACACTGCCTAAATTAACTGTATTAGCAGCACAATATCGTGTACATTAAAGACTTAAACCGGCAATATCGATCACATTACACGCAGCATAAAAGCCATGAATGCTTCTATTGTCGCTGCTTACAAATCTTTCCACAACAAAAACTGAACTGCACGATCACGTGTCATCGGTTTACTGTCAAGAACTGCAAACCGTTTAGGTGCCACACGATGAAACACCAGTTCGAACATTACTACAGAAAATACGCACAAGCGTTTCATATACATTTTAATATGGAAGCGATCCTTGAAAAGTACAAGGACCCTAACCTGATCCAGACCATTGTTTTCACTCAAGTGGAACACAACAATTGCCATGCGTGATCGGATATAAAACCAGTTGTTCCGTCCATGAAAATTTGTCTTCGCCATATCGTCAGTATTGTGGAGATGATTGCCTCCCCTTGTTCATTTATCAGCTTGTAACTGAATGAAACACATTAGAGACATCCGATAAAAGTAAACCACGACGATTCAACTCACGTCACATCAACTCCGAGGGCAATAATCGGCTCAACAATGTCACATATGCGAATAGTTCTTTAAGCTACATGATAAAATTGTCAGAGATCATTGCCATGTTATGGATTGTAATCTAGACTTCAAAGTATCAGTCGTCATTCCGGTAGACACATAATCTGCGAGGATACAATGGACATTCTACCGCTATAACACTCAGTCCTCCGCGTGTCACGCCGAAGTGGGAACCAAAATCAGATGCATCCCCAAACATTTCGAAAAGTTTATGATTGAAATTTTCCTATTCATCGATTCGTTTCAGTACATTGTGTCGTCGCTGGAAGAACTCGCTAAAAACCATTCTATGTTCACACATCTGCAAAAAGAATTTGGAGCCAAAGCTAATTTACTCATGTAAAAATGAATTTGTCCCTACGAATACATCGATGTCTCTTCACAAGTTGACAAAACATCATTGCCACCCCAATACTACTTTTATTCTCACTTGATCTCTCAGGAATCCTCAATGGATATCATTACGGGAATAAGATATGGAACCATATTGAATCTCCAAACGGATATGCTTATGCTCGCGGATGACTTGACAATTTCAGACACACGTACATGGACCATTACCAGCTAGATCCTCTCTGGTAATACTTCCCATATAAAAATCTTCTGGTACGAGCAATCTAGAGTAACACTAGAACTCTTTACCGATCCAGATATATTGCTGAGAGGTAGAATCTCAGTTATTAGCAAACAGCACACCATCGCCAAGCACAAATACATGAGAAAACTATTACCTGACAAAGCCACCATTGTACATTCTTTGCATCGATTTAAACAATCTATGATGGGCAATGTCACAAACGGTTCCCATGGTAGATTTTCACATGGATTACTCGACAACAGTTCGTCGAGAAAAGACAAGCGGAATATAATGAAGACTGGGGATATTTTGTCAAAGCCGATCTTGGGTGTCCGCAACATTTCACAATTGTTCGTTCTGAGTAGAACAAATTCTAGTCACGAATACGATTTTGTCTCAGGAATAACTACAGCAAAAGAGCCAATGCAGATTTCGACAATGTGAACAACCTTGTAACCAATTTCTTCAATAAAACCAAGTACAAATTACAACATCGAATGCTCGAACAAGCTCTGTAGCATATAATCATTCTAGATAAAGTTTATCTGGCGCTCACGGTTCGTCTATCACCAGAGATAAAATCCTACATCAACTGCAGCACGTCACACGAGTCAGAGCCACCACGGTGTTCAATAAAGGCATCATCACACTCATGTACAATAAAAACGGAAAAACTATGGACAACATTCGACACATCAAGAACATTGACTTTGGACGACAAGATGAGCTCATTGCCATTGATATCATATTTCAAATTAAAATTTTTAACTACGAGCGCGTCGCAACAGAATCCAGAAAATACAATCTCAAGCTGGACAAACCCATCTATAATAGTGCAGCAGTTCTCGATGTCTCCAAGATGGTAAATGCTCGGATTTTACTACAACTTCATCAAAAGCAAATAAGAAGACAAGGTCACGCTTGTTATGACTAATACAGACTGGCTCATGTATGAGATTCACACCGACGACGTCTAAGCGTACGTTTATCAGCATTGAGAGAAATATTCGAACCCATCGGCGACGATCCACGAGACAGCCCCTTTGACTGTGAGGACTATAACAAATTGCTAGGAATGTTCAAGGAAGAAACTCACTCCGTGCATATCACATAATTCATTGAACTTAGAGCCAAACTGTATTGTATCATCCTCGACGATGGCACCGTCATGAAAAAACCAAAGAAGTAAAAAAAGAACCGTCACCAACCACATCGCCACCAACCAACATTACACAAGCACTTCAGGTACACATGCATTACTACTCAGAACTTTCCGATCACAAAATATTTACAAAGCTCATTAGCTCACAGGACTATGCATTATGATCAGTTACAATAGCTCTAGTCCGGTTATGCTATAAAGAATAATGAGTTAAGATCCATTTTGGACCCCACACCATTTACACACGAATAAAGGGGCATATACAGCATTTTCTATTTTTTAAAACGGTTTCATACTTGTTTGCAATAGGTAAATACAGATAGATTATATACTTCATACGTCATATTATAATGTTGATCGGGCATGTCATTGATCGAGGTGATGATTTATGTTCGGTAACTGCTAAAGATGGTGAAAGAGTGGTTAACATCATCTCCTCTCTCACTCTCTCTCTCTTTCTCTCTCTCTCTCTCTCAGTCTGTCTTATCTCCCGCTTCTCTCTTTCTCTCTCTATCTCTCTTTCTCTCTCTCTCTCTCTCTCTCTCTCTCTCTCTCTCTCTCTCTCTCTCTCTCTCTCTCTCTCTCTCTCTCTCTCTGGTATTAATTTGTTTCTTCTGTTTCTCAGTCTGGCTATCATTTCGTATTATGGTATAGTAGCTCAAAATAGCTTGTAGGTTCGATTCCATTCATCAGACATACCCGTGGCTGATACGATAACGTGCCCTGGGCAAGGCATTCTAAGATTTTCGCCTCGGACCTAACAATAAATGTATCAAACTGAACCAAATCGTTTGTTATTATTCTACAGAACCTCGAAGTTTTCTGTGTTGAGGGATGGTGGTGTGCTTATGCCAATGGTGTAAATGGTTGATATAGAGGAACTTTCCTCACCGTTCTGCACGAAGAAGAAGATAATTGATGAGAAGCCTAAAATAATATACTGTGTTCGCAATTCCTGACAACCGACTATGTGGTATAGGTAAAATAAATCCGACAGATGAATTTGAGAAAAGAAAACACTGATCAAGGGTTAAAGGGTATATCAAACAAATCCACACAACTAGTCCTGGGTATACATTTCGTTTTATTTATTTCTATTTTTGCAATTTTTTATAAAAGCTGCTGGTTTCTACAGATCATCTTTGTATATATAATGCTTTAGCTTGTTGATATTGTTTAATTAATGGATGCTTTCATGCGATAAAGTAAGAGTTGTATGTTTCTTTTATTTTTCGTGAAATCATTTCGTCTGCGAATTGATGATGTGAACTTGACTGATGAAAGTTCTATTCAGAACATTCCAACAAGTCTGCAAGTGTTATATCATTAAAAAAATATACATCTATTTGTATCCATTTCTGCATTCAGACTTGAAATTTGTACATGTGTTGGCAGGAGTAGAGTGTAATTGGTAACAGCGCTGCACAATACTTTAGATTGTTACTTAGTTTTGATTTGCGATCGAAAAAACCTTAGCTTGA